TATAGGTGGAGCTGTGTGGTATCTTGAACAATCTGAAAAATAAAATATATGCAAATAGCGTAGTATATCTATACAATGTATAGCATATAAAAGGTAAGAATAGTTAAACTCACAAGACTAGAGTCATACCGTCATATGACTCTAAAAGTATGCTCCCTTGGACCATTGGGGGGTTGTCCAAACCCTTCTTTTGTTGGTTACTTGTTGTTCCCCCTGATGATCTTTAGTGTATCTTCAATAAAGGTGCCCAGTGTACTGAGGATCTTTAAAAGCTGGTATTTGTTTATTTAAACAAAATAAAAATGAAAGATAATATAATTAAAAAATGGCAATATACTATACCAATAGATATTGGGAATAGATAGAGTCCAATAAAAAGTCCAATAAAAGTTGAAAAGTAAGTGTCCAAAACGCGTTTCGCCTGATTAACAGGCTTCCTCAGTTGGCTTTAATGTCTCTTCCAAATGTTTGCTCTTTTAAATATCCCGCCGGCCGGTTTTTTCTTCTTTAAATACCACTTCCTGGTTCCGTCTTGTTGGAACGCAACGTGCGTTCCAACTTCGGCGTTGACTTCCGGGACGCGTCCTTAATTGAACGCACGAGCGCCCCAAATACACGTGCATATTGAAACTACGGCATTAACTTCCGGGACACGTCTCAAGTGGAACGCGCGTGCGTTTCAACTCCAGCATCGGCTGCCGGGACGCGTCCCACATGGAACGCACGTGCGTTTCACCTCCGAACAATATTGCCGTCCACTTCCTGGTCTCTCTCTGTGTTGCCACAACATGTCTAGATGGAACGCTCGTGCGTTCCATTCATAGCTTCACATTGAGTGATCACTTAATACAGTTCAAAACATAAATTAGCATGCCATCTAAACATATATAATCATCAATAGTAATATAACAAATAAAATCATAATATTATGTAGTGAATAGTGATATAAAAACTAATACAATCAAATTGTATACAGATAGAGAGTAATTATATTAGTTGTAAGGAATTGTCAATCTTAAAGGGATAGGATGTTATTACTACAAGAGAATTTGTTAAACGAAAATGCTCTGTGTTAACAAGACAAGATAAATATATAACATAAATAGTTAAGAGAAACACAAAAGTAGCCTACTAATGTACGATAAAAATTTAAAAATAGTCACTAAAAACGTGCCATAAGATAATATAAAACCAAGATCAATTAAGACTATTGCATAAAATGACATAGTTCAAAGTCGTTATTCAGTCCGTTTGGGATCATAGTGTCAAAATTAAATATGAACTTCATTTCTTCTTTTCCTATTTTGTTCACATAGTCACCTCCTCTCCAATCTTTCTTTACTAATTTTAAAGCGCAAAAGAACATTCCCTCTGGGTTTTGTTGGTGAACATGTTTAAAATGGTTCGAGACACTGTGGGTTTCGACCCCATTTCTTATGTTTCTTATATGTTCAGCTATTCTTAAATTTAATTTACGAATTGTACGACCTACATACAAGAGATTGCAGGGACATTTTAAAATATAAATCACTCCCTTCGAGTGACATGTTAGATGATCCCTAATAGTAAATTTCTTATTAATGACAGGTTCTAAATCTGTTAGGTGTCTTTTTACACTCTTAGTATTTTTACATGCTAGACACTGTCCGCATCCGTAAAAACATTTACTTATTGTAAAAAAGGTTGGTCTTGCTGTTTGTTCTTTATTACTGCTTTGAACTAAAGAATTTCTTAAGTTTTTTACACCTCTATAAATTATTTTTGGTTTTTCTGGCAATATGTTTTTAAGAATAGGATCATCTTTCAATATGTGCCAATGTTTTCCTATAATTTTATGCATTTTTCTACTATTGCCATGATAATTACATATAAAAGAAATATCTTGATTCTTAGTTAAGTCTTTCTTTTTCTGTTTATATTTAAGAAGGTCTGTTCTTTGTATTTTTTGAACCTCATTTATGGCTAATTGGAGGGAAGCCTCATCGTAACCTTTTTCCAGGAATTGTACTTTTATTTTGTTTACTTGTTCTAAAAAGTCTTGTTCATTTGTACAATTCCTTCTTATACGTAGGAATTGTCCTTTCGGAGCATTACTTAACCAAGGAGTATAGTGGCAACTTTCTCTTCTGATGTAGCTGTTGGCATCTACGTCCTTAAAATGATTCTTGGTGGTAATGACACCATGTGTTATAAATATATCTAAATCTAAAAAATTAATCTGTTGGGTACTGATCTGTGCTGTTAAAATAATATTCCACTGATTGTCGTTCAAGTAACTGATGAAAGAAAGTAGATCTGTATGTGATGCTGTCCAGATAAAAAATATATCATCAATGTACCTGCGATAGGATACCAAGTTCGCCCCCCATGGGTGCCCTTGATAGATAAACTGTTCTTCCCAATATGCCATGAATAAGTTTGCATAGCTAGGGGCGAACTTGGTACCCATCGCCGTCCCTCTTATCTGTAAGTAAAACGTCTCATTAAACCAGAAAAAGTTGTTAGTTAAAACTAGATTGATCCCTTCTAAAATGAATAAAATTTGTTCCTCCTTGAAACAGTTTTTCTTTAAAAAATATTCTACTGCTGCTAGGCCTTTCCCGTGTGGTATAATACTATATAAGGATGTCACATCACATGTGACTAATAAATTGCCTTCTTGCCATAAAGTGGTTTCTAAAGTTTGTAGAATGTGAATGGTGTCCTTAAGATAGGCTGGGTTTTTAATAACTAATGGTTGTAAAAGATGGTCTAAATATTCCGAGATTTTTGCTGAGACAGAATTGACTCCTGATATTATAGGTCGTCCTGGGGGATTTTCTTTGTTCTTATGTATAGTTGTGAGTTCAACTATTCTTACCTTTTATATGCTATACATTGTATAGATATACTACGCTATTTGCATATATTTTATTTTTCAGATTGTTCAAGATACCACACAGCTCCACCTATAACTCTGTATGTATTGTAAACAAATCCTTTGGTTAGAAAGTAAATTTGGGGATGGCCAGATAAGTTGTTTGAAAGGAATTACAAAGTCCACTATATTAGGTCACAAGTAAGAAGTGACATGTCTATGGAATAGAAAAATGGTAAATTGATGGATGCAATTTGAGACGAGCACAAAAGGAGCGGAAAAAAGGTATATTAGGATTGATGTTGGTCTGGGACACAAGGCGGTGGTCCCTTATACTTTCTATAGATTACACCTTCTCTTCACCTCTGGGCTAGGCTTGGAAACTTGAGACCAATTCATAGGGTATATGTCCATATGTATATTATATATTCAGTGTACTTTCTTGGGGCCAAAAATTAGTTTTGAGTGCCAGAGAGACCCCCCCGGGCAGATGTTGCTTCTAAATTTGAGTGAGTAATTGGGACGTCTTAATTTATCGTTATCTGTTGGTGTAAGTTTGTCATCTATTTTTATTTTTTTTTAACGCACGGTGACTTTGTTCATAATTGATATACCTTTATCAAGTTCTGCCTTTTCCTCAAAGAATCATGTTACCTGAAGAGACTAATGTTTTGCAATTGCATAGATATTGTATTTGTTGGGCTTTAACACTAATTTACCTGGAAGACCAAGGCACCCCATTTATAAAATGGTCTTTGTGGTGGCAGCGTTAAAATAGTAATATTTATATTCTGGTTAAGGTTGGGTGGTGGTTTTTTCCCCCCATCATTTCCAGTCTATTGCAGACAATAGTGAACGTTAACCCTTTCACCACCACAGTCACACTGTTGAAGTAGGGTGCGTTCATGACAAGTTTAAAAAATTATAGTTGATACATTAATCGTAAAAGGATAAAGTGTGTGTGGGGGGGTGGGGGGGGAGGGGGAATTGGCCACAAGGGTGGGGGAACTGAGGGTCTTGTTGAATATAGACAAAGGGCTAGAGCCTTCAATGCTTGTACATATGCTCATGCAACTCTTTCACTAGTGGATAATTGGAGCAGACCTGAGTGTCAGGAGAAAAGAGTGGTCTCGAATTGTCCTTTCCAAATCAGTTCACTGTGACCTATCCCTAGATGGATATCTTGGGTATGGTTTTGGGAGGTGTGGGCACCGGGTTGGAATTTGTACATTAAATTGACATTTGGCATGAGCTACAACACTTCACTCTAAAGGGGAATATTAAATCCCAAAAAGGTATAAAAGCTCAGAACCATCAATACATTAATGGAGAGACTTACACAAGGCAATAGAGAGTTCAGCAATATACAGAAGAAATCAGTGCAATTAAGATATTAAGACCAGTTTCATGGGATTGTTTGTGTCTATGCAACAAAATCATGGCGCAAGCCTTAACCATACACCACTGGGGAATGGGAAGCAACCAAAAATAAGTAGGTTTGACTATTATATAGATCTATGGGCCAACAGTTGGGTGGGCTATCAGTGTAAAACCTATAAGGCCGCTTCACTGATGCCATCTAGTGGTGTTTATCAGAATAGACAACAGGAATACAGGTCACAGAATCACGTGTTGAAGAGTTGCAATAGCATAATGTAGCTATAAAACGATCAAGAATTACAGCAAGTTGATTTCCTAACAAGATCTTATGCACACCTAACTAAGCCAGAACCATAGTGGATTAATGTTGGCATAACCGTTCATACTGCAAATGTATTATGGAACAAGTAAATTGTGCAGATATGGTAGTACTGTTGGGGCAGGGAAAGGTGTGCTTCTCTTTTAGAGAAAAACAGGGAATCTCAATTCGTACACACCACTTTAACTTGACAGTACTTTTATTACTTACAATCAATATGACCCTGGCCCCCCCCTCCATTAATAGCCTAGTATATAACAGTATCAATTAAAGTCAGACCATGTATTAATAGAACATCTAAAACCTCTGGCGAAAGTATTCATGTTACATTATTTCACCAGCAACAAGAACTTCAATGAACTGAACATTTAATAACATGGCTAGTACAACCTTGGGGTAGAAATTAAATAAATGTTTTCTTATCAATCATCTTGAGGTATTGCCGTGGGAAATGTATTCATCCATTTATTATTGTATCTGTAGTATGCATCGTTATGCAGGTTGGAAGGTGTTACTTTAATTGATTGCCCAGGTATATCATTTAATTATGGTATGCAAATGGAGAGCGCTCTATTGGAGGTAATGGGCTGGGCATTCACATAAGCAGATTCGCTGCAGGATCCATTCGCTCTGATATCTGGTTTGTTTTTGTAGAATATTGCATATTCTATGTTTCTATTGATTATATATGGATGTGTGGATTGACATAAGTAACAGATGGTATAAGTCACAAGGCTTTCTTTGTCCGAGAGCTCTGGAATGTAAGTTGGGGTTTTGTCCTTATATGGCTAGAGTTAAACGCTGACGTTAGTATGAGCACATCTATATAGTAACAGAGGGACACTAGGTCGCTCTCTGTCTTGGTTCGCTCTTTGGCTCTTTCGATGTAAAGATGTAAGGATGTAAAGAAGTCCAGCAATTACCATCTGCTGTTGAATGTCCATTATCCTGTAACATCATTTGTTTTATTATGTATCCGTAACTAAGAATAAACCTGAAGAAACCGTAAGTCAGATTGCATATTAGTACTTTTCAATAATAGACATTGTGACAAGCATTTGGCCCAAGACTATATATACACACACACACACAAAAGAGATATATATATATATATATATATATATTTTTTTTTTTTTTTTTAACAGTGATAATCGATTCCAACCAGATTTTACAGAGTCTAAGTGCCTCATCCACTTCATTGCCAATAGGAGGGACGTAATAAGGGTGGGATTTATCAACAGTATGCCAATTAAGTGTTGTGTTCTAATACAGTCAAGCCACATTCTACCCTTGGGGAATGAGTCAGAGCACATGGCCTTTAACCAGACAAAACCAAAATAAGTTGATGGTAAACTCTGCCCCTATTCCTTTCCAATAGGAGTCGTTCTGGCTCTGCTGAATCTTAAGGGATTGGACGAGGAACCGATACTGTTAAAAACCCCATGCAAAATACCACAAACTTCACCTGCTGAGTGATGGAGTTGTAACTATCACCTGTCTAGGCCGGTTTCACCATGTTAATTTAGTATGATTTCCATTCAATCAGCGACTAGTTTTGGTAACCTACTAGCTCATATATGTATACGTTGCTTATTTGATCACCATGCATTCAATTATTGCATTGCCGAAAGCAAGGAGTGTGGTCTCTGAATTTACAGGAGTTGTATAGCCAAAGTCTTTCAAGATGTTGGAGGTGATTGGTTTGGCATTTGGAAGCAAGCCCAGAACAGCTTCTTATACTAAGTTGTGGGGCAAGAGTTTGTCATAAGCTAGCCGTATTAGATAAAATATCCTTATATTCAGATTTCTGAAAAAAAGCGAAGGAAATTGGCACACAATAAATCAAACTGCATGCAGACATGATTTAGAAGAGATTCTATTGCAGTGTAAGGAATGAGAGTAGCATACATTACTGCCAGTGTGGGTGATGCATTGAATTAATGCTCAGTTTGACCGTTGGGCATTCATGGGACAGACAGCAGCCATATACAAGGATTTTATTCAGGGAGGAATGCACACACCCAGAAAAACTTGTGGCCTGGGCCAGATAAGCCAACGGACCTTCAGATAAAAAAAAAAAAAAAAAGTGGTAACTTCCATATGTAAAGTTACAAAATGTTTTCTGCCTGCATCAATTGAAACCTTAAATTCCAACATAATTTCCCCTCACACCTGGTCTTTAGTTTGGAATAGGGCTCTTTAGGGATTGTTCAAACTGTCAACTAGGATTCAAACCCACTAACTTTTCACAAACATTTTACCAACATTTATGGATAACACATGAGGCCTGTTCCAGACTATACTGCTTGAGTTTGGATGGGGTCATAGAACAAAATTTAATGAGAACCCTCCATGCACTTCTACAAGGAATCTTCACAGAATTGAGCTCCCTTGAGTACAGATCTAGAAATTATTAACTTTAATATAAAACTCCTCAAAGGGGTGGAGGAGGTATACAGACATGTGGAAGATTTGCACTCCTCATTAGCAGTATTAAATACCCCAGCTACACAATCGGAGAAACTTTTAATAAGCTGTGCCTGGACAGATTAGTATGTGAAGAGGAATTCTTTCCAAGCCATTGTATTAAAAAAAAAAAAAAAAAAAAAACTTTGTCAGAGTTCCTTCCAAAGATATTCACACTCAAGGGATTTGAAAGCATTAAGGATTAAAGTTTCTTTGCAACGTCAGTTGCGGCCTAGATTAGGGTTGTTTACTGGGAGGCACCTTTTCACTCAGGTGATCCATATTTATTTCTCCTCTGTCATAGAACAATTACTAGATATTAAGAGCCTCACTAAAGCTCAGTTTTGCTTCCCAATAATTGTAGTCACCCGAAATCAAAAGACTATGACCCTTTTATACCACAGACCTGTTCTAGAACAAAGGATGAATTAAGATTGATCATACATCCTCTAGTATCTTTCTGCAGCCCCACAATAAAAGGTCAAAGAATGGACAGAAGTTGTTACACAACACTTTAAGATTTTTTTTTTTTTAAATCATCCTTATACAACCTATGCCAGTTTTTCTAAGTGATTTACAGCTGAAATGCATTACCAAAAATATGTTTTACTCCCAATAAAAATCACTGCACATACAGGTTTAAGATTTAGTCAACTCTTGTATGGTATGAACTAAAATAAATAAAAAAAGTTTTACATTTTCATGTAATAAATTTACTAAAAAGTAAAATATACTACAAATCTACATAAAATTCTGTAAAGAATTTCCAGCTAAATTGACAACCTGAGGTACAAAGAAAACCATATACTGATGGTATCCAGAACACTTTAATGGCCCATTTAGCATAGCACTAAATTTGAGGAGAGAGCATAGGATCAGAATTGGTCATCACGCCCTGGTTTGTTTTTCAAGTGGACCCAAGGAAAACTCGTATTAGTCAATTTGCACGGTCTACATACTGAAACAAATCTACTAAGATTAACAAGTTACTATTTTTTTTTTTCAGCCTTTTTTAAAAAAAAAAAATAGATCACAAATAATGCCCTAGTGACAAACTGGCATTGCTAGACATTGAAGTCCTCCCATAGAACTACTACAATGGTGGAAGTTTCTGATTGAACACATACAGGTTGACCACACATCAACACAGGGTTACATTTTCTTTTTTATACATCTACATATATTCTTTATAAAGCGCCAGCAAGTTCAGTAGCGCCGTACAATGGCTAAACTAACAGACACGTCACTGTAACCAGACAAGTTGAACGCACAGGAACAAAGGTGTTGAGTTCCCAGGCTCAATGAGCTTACATATGCTAAAAGACACCAGATAGATTTTGCGATAGAATGACAGTGACTATGGTACGGATAAACCACAATCCGCTGGTGTGCGCTTTTTTTTTTTTTAAAACAAATAGTACTTTGCTACACCCCTCTCCCCCTCTTAATGGCTGTCCAATTTCTACTTTCACATGCAGACAGCAAGAGTTTACCCCCTTTATTTTCAAAAATCTATTTAAAAATTTTTTTATTTTTTTTTAAAATTAACAAAAAATAAATAAATAAACTAAAATCAGGAGCTTCTATGTAAAGTTTCCCACTCAACTAGAGGACAAAACTAAAATTCCCTATGTGCCTATCTTAATACAGGGAGTGCAGAATTATTAGGCAAGTTGTATTTTTGAGGATTAAATTTTATTATTGAACAACAACCATGTTCTCAATGAACCCAAAAAACTCATTAATATCAAAGCTGAATATTTTTGGAAGTAGTTTTTAGTTTTAGCTATGTTAGGGGGATATCTGTGTGTGCAGGTGACTATTACTGTGCATAATTATTAGGCAACTTAACAAAAAACAAATATATACCCATTTTAATTATTTATTATCTGACATTCAAAAACAAATCAGTGACCAATATAGCCACCTTTCTTTGCAAGGACACTCAAAAGCCTGCCATCCATGGATTCTGTCAGTGTTTTGATCTGTTCACCATCAACATTGCGTGCAGCAGCAACCACAGCCTCCCAGACACTGTTCAGAGAGGTGTACTGTTTTCCCTCCTTGTAAATCTCACATTTGATGATGGACCACAGGTTCTCAATGGGGTTCAGATCAGGTGAACAAGGAGGCCATGTCATTAGATTTTCTTCTTTTATACCCTTTCTTGCCAGCCACGCTGTGGAGTACTTGGACGCGTGTGATGGAGCATTGTCCTGCATGAAAATCATGTTTTTCTTGAAGGATGCAGACTTCTTCCTGTACCACTGCTTGAAGAAGGTGTCTTCCAGGAACTGGCAGTAGGACTGGGAGTTGAGCTTGACTCCATCCTCAACCCGAAAAGGCCCCACAAGCTCATCTTTGATGATACCAGCCCAAACCAGTACTCCACCTCCACCTTGCTGGCGTCTGAGTCGGACTGGAGCTCTCTGCCCTTTACCAATCCAGCCACGGGCCCATCCATCTGGCCCATCAAGACTCACTCTCATTTCATCAGTCCATAAAACCTTAGAAAAATCAGTCTTGAGATATTTCTTGGCCCAGTCTTGACGTTTCAGCTTGTGTGTCTTGTTCAGTGGTGGTCGTCTTTCAGCCTTTCTTACCTTGGCCATGTCTCTGAGTATTGCACACCTTGTGCTTTTGGGCACTCCAGTGATGTTGCAGCTCTGAAATATGGCCAAACTGGTGGCAAGTGGCATCGTGGCAGCTGCACGCTTGACTTTTCTCAGTTCATGGGCAGTTATTTTGCGCCTTGGTTTTTCCACACGCTTCTTGCGACCCTGTTGACTATTTTGAATGAAACGCTTGATTGTTCGATGATCACGCTTCAGAAGCTTTGCAATTTTAAGAGTGCTGCATCCCTCTGCAAGATATCTCACTATTTTTGACTTTTCTGAGCCTGCCAAGTCCTTCTTTTGACCCATTTTGCCAAAGGAAAGGAAGTTGCCTAATAATTATGCACACCTGATATAGGGTGTTGATGTAATTAGACCACACCCCTTCTCATTACAGAGATGCAATAAATAAATAATATAATAATAAAAATACTCATTTGCTTAATAATTCTGCACTCCCTCCCTGTATATAGTGCAAAAATCTAACTATTCTGGAGCATTCCCGCCCTAGCTAACTCCATCACACAACCTCCCCTTTCTCCATCCTACTCACCACTAACACGTAACACCCAGTGCGGGCTTTTTTATATGGTACTTAAGGCGCACAGTAATTACGTAATCATGTAGTTTTTATCCTCTTTGCGCATGCGCGCTAGAGTCTCTCGCTATGGTCAGCGCATGCGCGCTAGAGTCTCTCGCTATGGTCAGCGCATGCCGAGTACGTCACTGAGGCATCGCTCGGTGATTGGTTGTGATCAGACGCTAGCTGGCCGCTCTCCCTGGTGGCGCTTTTTCTTACGTAATTTGTCTGCGACAGTGTTTGGTGAAGATTAAAGATGTCGGAGCGGAAAGTATTAAATGTACGAAATAGGAGACAGGAGTCTCAGATCGCCATGGGGTGGCTGATAATTGCTCTGTTAGTGGGTTCTAATGGGAAAGCTGCTACTGGGGTTGTAACAATGACTGTGTCCCTTAAAGTGATTTTTATCTGTACCACCCCTTGTATTTAACCCCCTGAAACCCCTTCACAGTGATAGCTTGTTATTGATTTGTAAAACTCCTAATTGTGTGATGTTTTTTTTAAAGGAATACTCCACTAATTCCTGCAAAGATAGTAGTTATTACTTTAATTGTGTGTATGCATTGTTTATTTTTAAAGAGAGAGAAATGATGTGCCACAATGTGTCCCCTAAATATTACACATCTTACTCCTATCCTTTACCTACTGCTCTTCCTTAGAACATAACAGCAGGGGTGCCCAAAAAGTAGGTTACCAGATGTTTTAACGCGAGAGTGGACTGAGAAGTCCTAAGTGGGAGCGTTAACATTAAAAAGTCTCACATATACAGTTTATTGTGGGTTATTCCACAATCTCAGGGGAGAGTAACATAGGGCATCCTTTGGTACTGATCCACTAACCCCCCCCCCCCCATTACCCTGGGACTCTTGGATCAGCACCTTTCTCATTACAAATTTTACAGAGATGTTTTAAAACTACAGCTTCCATGATGCTTTGTCATTCTAAAGGAATGCAAAGCATTGTCGTAGTTGTAGTTCTACATCTGGGGATCTACCTTTTTGTCACTTCTTCTTTACGGAATAGCATGTTTGTGTTTCCTCTTTCTCCAGCTCTATGCCTACAGTGCAATGTCTTTCAGTAGCCATCTCCAAAAATGTTTCTGCCACTAATCCCTCATCCTACTCATACTTCTTCCACCTTTTTTATAGCATGCTACTTTACCTGCCTCTTATTGTAAACATTTATCTACTTTACACGCTATTCAGTAATAAATGTATGTCTGCAGATCTCTGGTCATTAACTTCAAACACTATCTGCAACCTCATGTCTCAACTCACCATTATTACCTTTAGATTGCAAGCTCATTAATTATCTTGCTAAGCACTTTGTATAAAAGTGCTGTAATTGCGAGATCATCAGCAGGGTCCATTTTGTGTACATTGGTTGTTTATATTCTGTATAATTACCAATTCTGTTTTCAGAAATTTTGTAAAGTATTCTGGATAAAAATGCTATTTAAAAACTGTTTAATAAGAACAAAAGCATATTTCACTCAATGAATCTGTATATAGAACATGGTCTTGCATCCCACTTTTCCGTAATCTGCCATTTAGGAGTTAAGTCACATTTATTTCTGTTTATGCTGCCATAGCTACATCTCCTCTGGCTGTGACTCACACAGCCTCCATGAACAAAAATGGTTTCATTTTCGATCAGATCTTATAGCACAGTGTGTTTACTTTATCTCCTGCTTTGTTAATTGAACTTAAGTCACACAGAGGAGGCTGTTGCAGGCTCTTAACAGTGCAGGAGATGAGAATTTCTGAAGTCTGCCTAATAAAAGCAGTTTAAAGATATTTTTCTTTTCTCCCAGCTGTCAGTCAATGCCGAAGCATTGGTTGACAATGGAGAGTAGAAAAGACCTCCCACAGTAGCGCATGTGGTGTGGTTGCTATGGAAACTATAGCGCTTCTAGTGCTACTCCATGCCAACACTGACAACAAAGCCAGCGTGCCAACTTAACTGACAAATTTGTCAAATCAAAAAAGACTTTGGGAGGAGCATTGGTGTTATACAAAGAGTAACACCCACGAAGCAGTGCTGTAATGGAGGAAAAGTGAGGACGTCTTTACATTTTACATTAGATACCACGTATCTTTATGTAATATGGGTAAGCTGCATGCAGGATCATTTTGCAAACAGTGTACATACTTTTCTGGTGGAACTTTAATCTGTTATGCTTTTTTTTTTTTTTCTTCCAATTTTAGAAATATTATCCCCCGGATTTCGATCCGTCTAAAATTCCAAAGTTGAAACTCCCAAAAGATCGCCAATATGTGGTTCGTCTGATGGCCCCATTTAATATGAGGTGAGTCCCGTTGCTTGTACTGTGCGTCAAACTTTTTATGTTGCCTGGGTGTAAACTTGTTGCCTTTCCACATTTTCCTATTTGACTATTATAGGTGCAAGACTTGTGGAGAATATATTTACAAAGGGAAGAAGTTCAATGCTAGAAAGGAAACTGTGCAGAACGAATTGTACTTGGGACTCCCAATCTTCCGATTCTACATCAAATGCACCCGCTGCTTAGCTGAGATCACTTTTAAGGTTAAGTGAAAAAAATCCCCATTGCTTGTGTGGTTTTGTTTCATATTTCATAACCTCCATATTTTAGGGTTATACTTTGTGATTAAAGGGACTCTGTTGGCAACCAGACCAGTTCAGCTCATTGAAGTGGTCTGGGTACAGTGTCCCTATTGCACTTAGCGATACAATGTAAAACCTTGCAGTTCCAGAGAAACTGCAATGTGTAAATTGCAGCACTAAGTCTGCCTTCAGTGGCTTTCTACCAGGCAGCCACTAGACGTGCTTCCTGGATGTTAACAGACTTTTGGCCCAGTAACTGACGCTGACTGTCCACATGCTCTGCATGAAGACATCTGCTATTTCTCCATAGTAAAAAGCATTAATTCAATGCTTTCCTAGGAGAAGGAATGTGTGGTGTGCAGCACTCGCTGTTCATCCACATTAGGCGCCCTCTTAGTATTCCTACCACTATAGTATCTGATTGATAAAGGAGCACATTTCATATTTGTTGGCTATTTCAATCCCATATTGGTTGATTAGCAAACATATGTGGGTTAAGGGTATATTTATCAATCTCTCACCTATGAAGCCCTCCACAAAGTGTAGAAACAGTTGTGATTAGGAAACATAAGTCTAATTGTAGTTTTAATACGTGGAAAGTGACTATAGATTTAGAAAAAGATATTTGTAAACAAGATTTGGACATTAATGATATCATACATGAGTCTATAGTGGCAACACTGCCTGGGTCCTGCAATCCAATCTACACCACTGTTTTTCATACCTATGCTTCATTTTCTTTCTTTTATATTTTTTTTAATGCAGACAGACCCGGAGAACACAGATTATGCCATGGAGCATGGAGCTACTCGCAATTTCCAGGCAGAGAAGTTAATTGAAGAAGAAGAGAAAAAAGTTCAGAAAGATCGGGAGGAAGAAGAGCTCAATAATCCAATGAAGGTAAATTCAGTCACACCTAATTAAAAATCTGGTATTTCAGTTCACACGACATTGCTCAATTTAAAGGGACACTATAGTCACCCATAACACTTCAGCTCAATGAAGTGGTCTGGGTGCCAGGTCCCCCCAGGTTTTAACCCTTCAGATGTGAACATAGCTGTTTCAGAGAAACTGCTATGTTTACATTGCAAGGTTAATCCAACCTCTAGTGGCTGTCTTCCTGACAGCCGCTAGAGGCAATTCCGCGACGCTGAATGCGAAATTCACATCCAGCGTGTAGAACGTCCATAGGAAAGCATTGAGCAATGCTTTCCTATGGACTGTTTGAATGCGCACGCGCCTCTTGCCGCGCCCGCACATTCCGCTCCACTCGGGAGCTGATGTCAGTGGGGGAGGAGAGGTCACCGGCGCTGGATAACGGTAAGTTAAGGGAGGGGGACCCTGAGGGTGGGGGTCCTCAGGATGCTATAGTGTCAGGAAGTTTGTTTTCCTGACACTATAGTGATCCTTTAACAACTGTCTAGTAAAGTTGTGTCCATAGCTTTAAAGGAGCACTCCAATACTAAACATAAATATTATTTTTAATGTTCATGTTACCCTCCGAACTTTTATATTATGCACCAGGCAGTTTACTCCCAGCATCCACTCTCTGACTGTTCTGAGATTATCTGTCTGGATGATCTCTGGTCCAATAATATTTAAAGACAAGCTGGCAAGAGCTTTTCTCTCTTTCTCAGGTCTGAAGCAATCCATATGTATTTTTATTTTTAACTAAATGTTACATTTTTACTTTTATCTTTTAGACTAGGCATACTTTTTTTTAAATCTGAATCTATTGTAACTCCAATAGACAAAATTATATTGTGCAGCTCTTACAACCAACTAGACCAGTGTAATTTGTCCCTGAGTGTCACGACAAGTGACCCAAACACACAGAATATAACCCAAATAGAAAACTTATTACCGGACCTTAGAATGGCTGGGTAGGTAGAACAGTCAAAGAATAGCCAAAGTCAAGAAAAAGCAGAGATCAGGATAACTATAAGGAATAGCCGAGTCAGGGAACCAGAAAACAGGATAAACGAGCTGAGTCAGGATACCAGAACGAAGAATAGTCAATAAACACAAGCCGAGTCAAAATACCAGAAAGGTACCCCTTTCTGTCTCATTAGAGATCTTTGCCAGATGCTCAAGGAAGCAAGGTGAATGGTTAGAGCTAGGACCCACCTGGGGGGGGGTCTGCCTTGACGTTGGCAGGTGGGCTTATCCTCTCATGGCCATTGGAGGTAACTAAAAAACATCCATTTGTTTAAAAATACATAGGGATTAAGGAGAGAGCGCAGGTAACTTGTCTTTCTTTGGTTTTTACTATATATTGGGGCTGATGTTTACTGTAGTCATTGCTGCCGCACAGTGATGGGAGTGAGCGCGGGACTTATATTTCTGCAAAATACCAAGATACACAGACCGATAACAGGATAGCACTAGAGGGAACAACCAGTGAACCACAATAGGGCACTGAACAAAAGCAAAAGTCCCGAAAACATCAGGGAGCGTGTAATATTTTGACTCTTCGCAGCATAGCCACTATGACGTTGGTGCGCATGCACAGCGTCATAAAAGGAGGCGTGCATAGAGTGGTCGCCGGGAGGAGTCGGCACCCGGAACTACACCTTGCGGGTCCGCGGGAGAAAGGTAAGGTATTGTGACACTGAGGCTATTGACCTTGTGATCAACTAAAAAAAATCATTGTATTAGATTCACCATTGAACCAGCTTGCTTTTTAAAATAAATTATTTTATTTATCGAAAATTGTTTTAAAAAAAAAAAAAATACGTACTAATAGCAGCATATGCAGGTTCCCAACATGCTAAATCTTTGGCTGAGTTTGTGTTTTATTAAATTCGCCATTATCTCGATTTGTCAATATAATTCAAACAAGTGAGACATGTTCATGTCTTTTTTATCATACATAACAATTAAATATGTAATACCCTAAGATAAATCTAATGTCTAATAGTAGACTAAGTAACTATTTGAAAACATATTAACGCTTTGTCATCTCACAACAAACCATTGAAAGTATGATCTGGAAGATATTCTTAGTATGCTTTATAATATAAAAATATTACAATGCAATGCTAGGTTTTTTTTTGTGTGTGTGTTTGTTTTTCTTTGTGTATAAGTGGTGCAAATAAATATCACCAAAAGATATATAATTTAAAAATGCAACAAAAAGGGAAGAAAGTGGAGAATAAAAATCAAACCGTACAGAGCACTGTGTAAACTGGGACCTCCCTCTGCTGATGACAATATTGCCATCCGTCGTGGTTGGGGTTAATGTAGGGTAAGTGTTAATTCTGGGTTAGGGATAATGTAGGGTTATGGTTAGTATAACAAAGGGTTAGAGGTAGAATTGTATTGATTTTGATCTGTAAAAAATATTTTTAAATTTTTTCCCCCCCCATTTTCAACAACTTAGTCATACTTAAAGAACCTCTAAATTCGCCTAAACCATTTCATCTCAGTGAAGTAGTCTTGGTGCAGTTGTCATGTATGTTTATCCCTTCCAGGTAAAAACATTGCTGTTTTTCCAGAAAGTGCCCTCCAGATGTTGCTGAACTACAACTCCCATGATTCTTTGAATTACATAGATAGCCAGAGAATCATGGGAGTTGTAGTTCAGCAACATCTGGGGGGCCGGTGTTTGAGGACCATTGCCTTTAAGGGTTAAACATGCCTCTAATGGCTGTCACACTAACAAGGATGCTGTCAGCTAATGAGCTCGCTCTGCATTGCAGGGCATAGCCCATTAGAGCTAACAGAAGCTCCCTCAGCTTCTTCCATGCCCCTTCCCGCAGGCAGTAGGTGTGGAGAGGCACCTGGGAGACCCCAAGTAAAGCGGTCAAATCGTCATTAAATGATCTGACTACTAACATTGGGTGGTGAGGGGACTGCAAAGGTTATTGTTTTTGGAGTGTTCCTTTAAATTGTAATGCTTTGTATTCCCTTAAAATGTAATGCTTTGTATTGATATTTTGTGTGTGTGTGTGTGTGTGTGTGTGTGTGTGTGTGTGTGTGTATGTATATATATATATATATATATATATATATATATATATATATATATATATATATATATAAAAATATATGTATGTATGTCTAGGATTGCAATGTCTCTTGCCAAAATTTGTCATGAAGGGGATTAACACATAAAACTTGCCACATTAGTAATTTTTCTAATATACATCAATATGCATAATTAAAATGTCTGCCATTAAAAGTCTTTGTATTGTTCTAGTTCTGCTAATTAATCACTTCCCTGATTTGAAGTGACCGTGGTGCCTGCAGTGTTTTCCTATGAAACTCTGCACATACAGAGTTTAGCCCTCGTGCTGCCAAAGGTGTAACTCCACCTCTTGCAGTGCCACTTTCATTGCATTGGCTTAGATCAGTCAGCTCTGCATGAATGACAGCTACTGCTTGTTGCTGTGCAGAAGCTGAAAGCACGTCAATGTTTTGCCCCCTTACCAGGAAACTGAATCGGGGTACTCTTTACATCAATCAACCGGATCAGCGGGCTGTGGTTGTTTTAATTGTAGTACTCTTTAGTATGACCATTGTGAAGTATCCGCCTTTTGAGCTAAACGTACTGTATTGGATATGTGTGCTGTCAGGTTCTGGAGAACCGAACCAAGGATTCAAAGATGGAAATGGAGGTTCTGGAGAATCTACAGGAACTAAAGGAACTGAATCAGCGCCAAGCAAATGTGGACTTTGAGTCAATGCTTGGTCGTTACAGAGAAACTGAGGAGCAAATGAAAAAGAGACAGGAAGAGGAGGATGAAAGCGAGATGAGGTAAATTGAATTATGTTGGTCAGAATGTACTTGGAATGTTAGGCTGTTGCCCTGCGTTGGAGCTGATCAACATTCTGTTTTTTTTTTTCTGTATAATTGAATAATTTCTCTTAATTCAGAGCAATGATCGCCGAAGCTCAGAAGAAAAGGCTGCTAGAGGATTCTGACTCTGATGAAGAATCATCTGAGGTGAAAACTAAAGAGACTGTGAAGATAAACCCAACAGATATCCTAATCAAGGTGAGCCATCTTGCTTTTGACAGAATAATAATAATGATCTGGATACTTGTTTTGCATCCTGACAGAGTAGAACTGTGTTTTTCTTGTTTTGTAGATTTGTTTAAACTTCTCAATATTTTACCATGCAAATGAATGGTAGTTGGTTATGCACAATTCCTGCCATTTACTTGTAGAAAATTACTGAGGGCAGTGTATTGTGTAATTCTCCATGTAATACGGTTGGCTGGGATAGTGTTTCTCATGCAGTTTATGCAGACTACAACACAAAACGCAGTGTGTGGGCATGATTGCAGAAGCACACAATGGTTGTGTGTGTTTGTGATTACAGCGGCTCACGATAAGTATGTATGTGCGATTGTTGTGGTACAGGAGGCAATGTGTGTGGGGATGATTGCAAACAGTTGTGGATGTGTTGTGCATCTGAACCGCAGTGCAGGATATAGTAACGGTGTGGCAATACCACACACAATGCAGTGTATGTGTGTGATTGCAACTGTTTAGAATGCAGTGTGTGGGGCTATGACACTGCAGGATGCACTGTGAGAGGCTACAACACGGCAGAATGTAGTGTGTGTGGGTGCAATGGCACAGGATGGATTTTTTTATGTTTGGGACAGCACAGAATGCATTGTTTGTGTGATGGTGCGATGACAACTGATGCATTGTATATGTGTATGCGTGATGACTCCGTATGCAGCATGAGAGGTTGGGATAATTAGGATTCAGCCTGTGTGTATGCTGTAATTTGAACAAAACATAAATGCAGTTTGACAGTAAAGGGTAATACAGTGAGTATGGTTTGCAAGTAATTTCAATCTGGAAAATGCATGGCACAACATCATGCACATCAAGTTACTGAGCTCTGATGTACAACTTGATTGATGGACTTTATTGCAGATACAGTGCTAGACGCTATTTATTCTGTTACTAAGAAAACCTGAAACAAGATTAAGATCTGAGTACAAATTCCACAAATAAAATTGTCAAAAATGGAATAAACCTTTTAAGAGGAACTGTCACTTTCTCAATTTTAGTACACCCTAATGGCCAACTGGAAGAAGTTAGTTATTGGTTATGTTAAATTGTGTTTGGTTTTTTTTTTTTTTAACCCCTTAAAGACACATGACATGTCATGATTCCCTTTTATTCCAGAAGTTTGGTCCTTAAGGGGTTAAAGCTTAATTTAAATTATCCGGTTACAATGTACATTCGTTCACTTGCAATGTCTTGTACATAGCACTAAGGCACAGCTGAAAAATATGCCGACTGCACATAAGCAATGCCAAAAGCCTCCGCCGGGGGGGTGGGGGGTGTACTCGCCCCAACATGAAAGTGCAGTGGAGGGATTTGCACTTATTTTACTTAATTTACTCCATTGCATTGTTCCACCCAATGAATGCTGCAAAAATGTTTACTTGGGTGAAGGAACGAAAAACTCACTAGTCTGTAACTGGCAGTTCCTCTTTAAATGTCACTTTAAATCTGCAGTTACTACTACGCAGAACCACATAATCTCATACATCGCAATACATTTCATTAGGTTGCTTTTAAAAACGTGAACCTTGTTTCATGATACTATCCCAGCACTTTAGCTTGCCTGCCATGTTAGATTGTGCCATGACCTATATCACTAGGGGAAGGTCTGCCAGAACGTGTAACAGTTGGCTAAAATCTTGAAGCACTGAAAACCTCAGTTTTAAAATAAAATATGTAGTTTTGACAAATTACTAACATAAGACTGTGTATGTGTCTGGATATGCTAAATGGGAGAGTGGAAATAACAGTTCAACAAACATGTACCAACATTTCTAAAATAACTCTAGATTTTAAACCCTTCCACATACAGGCAAATCCCATGTTGCTTATATGCTGGCTGAGTGGTTGGTCCTGCTGGTGCCAATGCCCAAGCTGAATGATCTCTGATGTTAATATAAATGATTAGGGTTTTTTTGTGCATATAGTGTAAACATGTAATTTATCTACAGAGTTCAGATGTGCAGAACAAAAGACAATGCAGTGAGACGTGGGAGACCAACAAAATCAAATTAAACAACCGTCAACGGATATCAGAGCTTGTGGTCAGGAAGCGGGAAGGAGCAAAGCCTGATATAAATGCATTACACAATGAGGATGCCACACGTAAAACTGACGTGTCTCAGGGAAAGAATGCACTCTCCAACATGAATGCAAGCCATGGCACAACTGCACCGCAGACTTCTTCACATGGTAATTTTACATCCTCATACTATCAGAATGTATCAGAACATACATGATCGTCTAGTCCATTACCCTAGCCTATTACGTGCAATGCATGTAAATTAAAAATAACAAGTAAGGTTTTTTAAAAATTCAAGTGATGGTTTTGCTAAAATTTGGCATAATATATCCACAAGGTGCTGAGTATGCAAGTTTGGCATATGTGTTCAACTTTCTTAAATTAATACTAGAGGGGCACTTGGGGTCCCTGGAAATTATTTATCTGAATAAATGTGTATGTAGCCTTTAATTGATTACTGTGAGAAATTAGTAAGCATGCACACTAAATTTCAACTATTTGTGAATGGAAGAACTCTCTGACATTAATGTTCTTTCACCAGATTGTTGTTCAAACCAATATAACTTTAATTTAAGATAAATACAAAACAATGTTGCCTGGTATACTAAGGAGTACTGGTAAGCATGCTTTATTTAAAGGGACATTCTTAAGTACCAAAACTACTTTAAGTTAATGAAGCAGTTGCAGTGCTTCTCTGCCATTTTGGAGTTTAATCACTTTTGTTTCTGTTTATGCAGCCCTAACCACACCTCCCCTGGCTGTGACTGACACATCCTGCATGAGCTCTATCTCACCCTGCAAACACCTCCAGGGACACCGTGTGTACTTACAATAGTCAGACAGCCTAACCTGCCCCGGAGAGTGCAGTTTATAGGGAAATATCCTAGTTTGTGAGTCCTGATCTGAATTGCATTGCATTTTTCAGACCATTGGCTCATGTACAAACCCACACAGTGCTGAGCTGGCAGGGACCCTGAACAGTTCCTGCCTGCAGTATTACACGAATAGACATGCCAATGCCCTCTCACTATTTGAATCTGCAGAAGAATGGTCTAAAGCTTTAGAACAAGTCTGGTACCATCAGCACTAAAATAGACTGTAGTGGTTATGGTGCTTAGATTGCTCCTTAAATTTTGATATGTCTATATGGGAAGTATTAAGAGTAGTGTTCCCATTTTGTTTTATATTACTCTCCACATTCTTTCCCCCTTGTCTCCTATTTATATTTTCTTATAAAACAATTGTTTTGTTTTTTTACTTATTGTGGAATGCTTATTGTCTTTTGTTGCATACATAACTTGGGATTCCATTATGTAGAAGATGTCTGTCACACTTACAGAAAATTGTTTAATGCTGCCTGGGTGTTAACGTGATTAAGGCTACTTAGTGTGGTTATTTTAACATTGGTGTTCTTTGTCCTCTTTGGATTCAGAGCCCCTTTTCTTTAAATTAAAGGGGAAAAAATAAAAAAATAAATCGGTGAAAGGGACACTATAGTCACCAGAACAACTACAGCTTATTGTAATGTGGCTTATGGTTCTGTGTGAATAAAATGTTAACACCTTTGGTTTTAGTGCATTGCTTTTCTCCCAACAATAGAAAATCTTTTTCACTTTCGGTTCCATCTATTTTTTTTATTTTTTTTGAATAGTCTCGTGTCTTGGCATAAGCATTCATACATGTGTCTGTCTTGCAGGTGGTGTAGGAAATGAACCCAAACACACAGATGCTTCCAAATCCGGAACCTCTTCCCTGGCCCTCCTGGGTATGTACTCGGACAGCGAGGAAAGCGAGTAACCATCAATACGTCCGTAAAAGGATCTGTGAAGACAGTAGAGTTCAATGTGTGATTGCAAGCCTTGTGGAACAGAACACTCTGCTATCCATATTGTTTTAAAAAGAAACCTTTTTATCGTTTGGCTGGCTTATGCCAGTTTCCCTCAGGTGTTTCTTTTAATTGAGAATACAACTTCGGTATGAGTAAAGGATGCAGCAAATGTATGTAGTGTTTTTAAGTATTTTTTCTTGCTCCTTTGACCCAGGTTTAACTGCATCGTAAGGAAACCTAATCTTCTGATCAGTAAAAAGATAACTAAATATCTGTTTTATAGTGCTCCTGTCTGTACATGTCAAACTTTGTAAACTAAGAAAAATGTACAAGACAAGATACCCATTTAATTGTCTGCACAGCAAATAGTACATAAACACTGCATCTATTCATTGTATGTATATAATACGTAATTTAATAAAGAAGGGATATTTTTTATGTTCGTCTATATTTATAAGGGTGTTTCACAGCATTAAACATAAGACCATTCTATCCTATTTTTAATTTATTTATTGATTAACTTTTTTGAGAAGATGCATTGCACGTTGGACAAAGTAGAAACAGTTGCAGTAAACTACATGGCTTTGCACATACTTGCCTGTATTTACTGAAAAAATTATACATTCATAAATGGAGATAGAAAATGTGTAGCACGTGTCACGCTGGACGGAGGTTATCAGAATCTTCATCTTGTTAGTTTGACGCACAGTAAGTATATTTCAGTGTAGTAAAAGGCTGAGCATCATACCGAGAGTTGTCCTACCATTTATCTAATCCCCAACGGCAAGGAAAAACATAATGCTCTCCTACCCAAGAATTTTCACCTGATTGCCCTCACCCTCTGCCTTTTGCAGTGGGCTTACAATAAAAATAAAATACTTTCTTACAAATGCAATGCAACTTTGAAAATGACTAACCGATCTTAAGGCTTGTTTAGTAACCTGGGAGTTGCAGTTGTTTTAGAGATATGTGTATGTAACATTCAGCTACCCACTAGAAAAAGGTTATGAAAGACACCTACCCCGTACCTGTTATAGATCTATGGGAATAAGGAGCAGGTTTTGTATCTGCTGCCACTATTGGGTTGGGAAGGCAGCCAAAGGTACATACAGGGAGGGGAGGCAGGCAATTACTTCACTGTATCAATAATTGTAACCCCCATCCTGTCTCCATTACAACTGGCCACAGGCTCCTCACCTGTTAAAACTCCATGATACCACCAATATTTGTGCCAGTACCAAATCTTCCATATCCACATTAGTTGAGAATTCCCATCACTGTGCTTTGTGTGGTTTTCACCATACTTTGTGTTACTGTCAGTGCTCATCATATTCTAATAAAGGCAAACCATGTTCTGGTTTTCCTTACTACCTGGAGGCATCTGAAATTAAGGACCCATTATGGTTGATGACTTGGCAACTTTTTGACCCGTAGAAGTCTTTATCAAGTATCTTATTGATTTAGAACTGGAAAATGTCCAAATCTTTGATTTGGACGACTTTTGAAGACTGGATTGGAAACCACTGGTTTAAAAGAATGTATGGTTTCACTTTGTTGCTTTCGACTCGGACCTTTAATATTGCATTCCTTCTTAAGGCTATTTTGTTTATTTATTTTTTTTATTACTGGTATGTATAAAGCGCCAAACATATTCCGCAGCACTGTACAATTGGGAAAAAGACTACAATAAGAACAGACCGATACATCCAACATACATTTCTATTAACTGAATCAAAAGAACTGTCTAGGGACCATAACCACGACACTAATGCAGTGGTCAGGGCCGGCGCTTCCTACAAGGCGAACTAGGCAGCCGCCTAGGGCGCCATATAGGAGGGGGCGCCCTGCGCCCCCATCGCCGGCCCTTTAAATTCTGCAGCCACCTGAGCGCTCTATAGAGAGCGCTCAGGCGGCTGCCGCACTGCCTCACCTCCCCTGCCCTGCTGTAGCGTGGCCGAGCTCCTTTCCGGTCCGCGACCCGGCGGGACTGAAAGGAAGTACACACTCAGTGTGCACTTCCTGTCAGTCCCGCCGGGTCGCGGGACCGGAAAGGAGCTCGGCCACGCTACAGCAGGGAAGGGGAGGTGAGGAGAGGAGAAGCTGATGGGAGGGGGGGAGATGATTGATGGGGAGGG